CCTGCGCCCCTCGGCTTGACAGATGGCCCCACGGCGTGAGCCCACGTCGGCCTCTGGCAAAACGTGCTGGGCCAGCGGGGCGCCCAAGACGTGCCCAGCCTGTGCGCCCCAGGCTCGGCGCCGACCCGCTCGCTGAGGCCATCGGCTCCCCGGCTGCGCAGGCCGGTCTCTGGCTCGCTCCTGGCGCCCGCCAACGTCCAGCACGCCTGCTCCAGCAAGGCAATTCGGCCGAGGGTCGCGCGACGCGCGGCGCCTCCAGCATGCTCAGCATGCTCGAGAGCGGACGCGGCGTGCCCGAAGCGGGTGCTCCTGTCCAGCTCTCCTTCTGCCGCCTCCCGCCTCTTCTCCCCTCCTGCATGCTGCCTTGCTTCCTATTTCGAGGGCTGCTGGGGGGGTCCAGCAGAGGGACGTCTTGCCACAAGCCGCAGACGCAGATTCCACCTCGCCGTCCCGTGGGGCTGCGAACTTCAGAACTGTCGCCATTTTCGAGAGCCCCTGGGGGGTCCAGCGGAGTGACGTTCTGCGCTTCAGGTTCAACAAGGGCTGGTCGCTCACGCAGGTGGTCTCGTCGTGAAGGGAGGAGCTGGTCATCGCAGCACCGGCGCACCTGCAACAGGCAGGGTCTTTGGTGCAGCGAGCTCCGTGCCAGCTTCTCGCGCTGTGTGACTGCCGGTTCGGCCAGCTTTGCTTCCGAGGCTGGACTGGTTGTTCTGTGGTTGTCCTGGCCGATTACAGCTGCAAGATTAGTGCGCTGGTTTCTTTTGCGTCCGCGTGCCCGGCACGTCCTTCTGGCCCTGCTCGCCGCGAGTGTTCCTCACATGGCAGCTGGAGCCTGCTTCACAAACGGTGGTCATTTCGAGTGGCCAGTGCCCCTTTTATACTACCTATACGACCACCCTTCGGGTGATAAGGAGGTTCGGGGGGGGGAGGAACCAACGTCTCACCCGATCGGTCTCACTATCGATCTCACTATCGATCTCAGTATCGGTCTCGCTCGATCGATCTCCCTCGATCGATCTCACAATCGATCTCACTCGATCTATCTCACAATTGACCTGACTATCGATCTCACAATCGATCTCACAATCGATCTCACAATCGATATCACATTCGGTCTCACTATCGATCTCACTATCGATATCACAACCGCTCTCACAATCAACGTCATCATCATCATCATCATCATCAACAACAACAACATCAACATCAACATCACCATCACCAACATCATCATAATCGGGACACCGTTCTCATCATCAACACCAACATCATCATCATCATCACGGTCATCAACATCATCGGGACACAACCATCATCATCATCATCATCATAACCATCATCACAATCATCATCATCATCATCAGCATCATCATCATCAGCAACATCGAAACACAGTCATCGTCATCATCATCAGCAGCAGCATCATCATCGGGACACCATCATGATCACCATCGTTATCATCATCATCATCATCATCACCATCATCATCATCATCATCATCATCGGGACACCATCATCATCATCATCATCTCATCATCGACATCATCATCAGCATCATCAACATCATCATCAGCATCATCATCGCCATCATCTGGGTACCATCATCATCATTACCAACATCAGCATCAACATCATCATCATCATCACAATCATCATCATCACCATCGGGACGCCATCATCATCAACATCATCATCATCACCATCATAATAACATCATCATCATCGGGACGCCATAATCATCATCAACCTCATCATCATCAAATCATCATCATCGGGACACAATCATAATCAGCATCATCAACATCAACATCATCATACTCATCATCATCGGGACACCATCATCGTCATCATCATGATCATCAACATCCTCATCATCGGGACACCATCAGCATCATCATTCTCATCGTCATCATCATCATCATCAGCATCATCATCATCGGGACACCATCATCCTCATAATCATCATCATCATCATCATCATCATCATCATCATCATCATCATCATCATCGTGATCATCATCATCAGCAGCAGCATCATCATCATCAGCATCACCATCATCATCAGCATCATCATCATCTCATCATTATCATCATCATCATCATCATCATCATCATCATCATCATCATCATCATCATCGCGGGACACCGGCGGGACACCGCGGGGCACCGCGGGACACCGCGGGACACCGCGGGACACCGGCGGGACACCGCGGGCCACCGGCCGCCCGGAAGGGAATCATTTGGTCTGGCCGCGCCTCAGCCACACGGGACACCGGCGGGACACCGGCGGGACACCGCGCGCCACCGGCCGCCCGGCGGAGGATCATTTGGTCCGGCCGCGCCTCAGCCACAGGAGACTTTCCTCTCGCCCGCCCACGCAGCTTCGCCTCGCCCGCACGGCACGCAGGAACACGAAACCGAAATCGATTTCCCGGTAGGGGGGCTGTCCGTTCCACTTCGATCTCACCCCCTCACCTCCGATGATCCCTGCGCATCTACGGGCGGGCGTCGCGTCATCACGCGCCCTGCCGCAGGCAGCGCCCGATCGTCCATCATCATCCTTATCACCATCAGCAGCCTCATCAACAGCACTAGCAGCAACATCATCATCCCCATCTTTACAATCATCATCTGCTGCCTCCGCCTCCTCACGCCTCCGTCTTCTCCCTCCTCACCCCCCCCTCCTACCTCCACCATCCTCCCCCGTCCATCGTCCATTCTCCCTCCTCCATTCTCCTCCTCCTCCTCCTCCTTCTCCTCCTCCTCCATCCTCCTCCTTCTTCTTCTCCTCCTCCTCTTCCTCCTCCTTCTCTTCATCCCCCTCCCCCAGCTCCATTATTCCCTCCGTCTCGCTCCTTCTCCCTCTTCCTCCCCCTGTCCCTCCTCTCCTACCCCTCCCCTCCGTCCTCCTCCTCCGCCTCCTCCTCTTCTTCTAACAAATTACACAATATGAATACTACTCTCCTCTCCCCTGGTGTCGTCCGGGAAATATTCGGCCCCCCTCCGCGTATTGTGTTTTACATAGACTTCCCTGGAAACGGATTTTCGCTTGGTTTTTGTTTCAAAATGCTGCTAATGTGCTCCCGCTGCAGCGCTGGCATCATTTCCGCGCTTCCGCTCATTCTGAATCGTGCTCCCGCTGCAGCGCTGGCGTCAGTATTTCCAGCGCCATGCCACGGCATGGCTTTCGGGCCCCAAAATATAGAAAATGTCACCCCGAAAAAACCGTCGGAAGTGACTACATTGACTACACATTCGGTGTCGATTCTTTGATATTTTGGGTCGCAGAACCCCCCCCCATACACACTTTGGGGCGTCGCCACGTCATGCTATGTCAGGGCTACGCATCATCCGAATCGTGCTCCCGCTGCAGTGCTGGCCTCATTTCCGCGTTTCCGCTCGTTCCGAATCGTGCTCCCGCTGCAGCGCTGGCGTCATTGCTTCCAGCGCCATGCCACAGCATGGTTTTCGGTCCTTCCAAATAGGCTCCAAAATCTAGAACATGCCCCCTCAAAAAAAAATATCGGAAGTCATTCCACATTCGGTGTCGATTCGTTCATTTTTTGGGCCGCAGAAGCCCCCCCCAGTTTGGGGCGTCGCCACGCCATGCTATGTCAGGCGACGCGGCGTTGATCTTTAAAACCATGCTATGCCATGTAATGTTATGCCCTGCTACGACATCCGACTGTGCGAATAGAGAGGAGATCTACACCATGGTAAGGGATGAGAGGGAGGGGTAGGACGTCAGATGTGACGCGAGCGCACCTAGCTTGTTCCCCCCTTCGCCCCTCTCCCTCCTCCCCCGTCGTCAATAATAAGTATACGCCCCCTTCTCCTGCTCCTCCTCCTCCTCCTCCTCCTCCTCCTCTTTCCTCCTCCTCCTCCTCCTCCTCCTCCTCCTCCTCCTCCTCCTGGTCTTCCTGATCATCATCCTGCTCATCCGCCGTCTGTTCTTCCAACGTGCAAATGCCCACTTGTCTGATTGAGCGCCACACGATGGTGCCGTTCAGGGAGCAAGGTCCTCCAAGACAACCCGCGGATACACAAGAATTCAGCGCAACGGGACGGGATGGGCGGGAGGGGCAGGATGTCAGATACGGTGCGAGCGCGCGACTAGCTTCCACAGTGGCACGTCATGGTTACTACTCTCCTCTCTCCCCTGACTCCGTCCGGAAGGAAGCCGGCTCTCTCCGCGTATTGCTGTTACACAGGATGTCACAAGTGTGTTGCTATGTCTCTTTTGCGATGCGATTGTTTTAGGTGTTTCAAAATGGTGTTCCCGCTGCAGCTTGGGCCTCATTCAGGATCGGGGCATCGCTCTTGTCGTTCAGAGTGGCGCTCTCGCTCCAGCGCTGGCCACTGTTCTGGATCCGAGTGCCTCCTCAGCCTTGTCGCCCCGCTAATTTCCCCTCCTCTGCCTTGCATTGATCATCTTGTTTTTCCCGATCCTTCCACTCCAGACCCTGTTGCTGCTGCTGCTGCTGCTGCTGCTGCTGCTGCTGCTGTACGTCCTCGTCCTCCTCCATCCTCGTCCTCCTCTTCTTATCCTGCTCTTCCGCTA